GTTAGGTCCCCTGGGGTGGGGGTGGGGGCGGCAATTATGTTTATTTATTTTTAATGGAGGCATGAGGATTGAACCTAGGACCTTGTGCATGCTAAGCATGTGCTCTACTCCTGAGCTAAACCCTCCCCACCTCCCACATTAGTACTTCTTGTCCTGCCCCAACTCCCTGCTGCTGATGCTAAGTTCTGGGCAGGTGTGGCCCAGAGGTGGGGACCCCTTCTGCTCAACCCCCGTTCATGGAAGTGGGGGGGCCTCTACCTCAAGCGTGATGTCACTGAGGATACTGGAGCCTCCCTGGCTCATAAAGTGGTGGTTCCATGCCAGGGGAGGCAAGCTGAGAAGACCTCAGGCTACTACCTCTCTTCCACCACGTGGTCAACTCCTAAACAGGGCTGTCACTCTGAGAGAAGCACACCACAGTCCCCAGTCTCAGGCTCCGAGGTTGCCTAGGGACAGAAGCAGGCTGGGAAACAAATAGGTCTAATTGCCTCCAAAGGAGCTGACTTTCTTTGCAGCAGAGAGCAGAGAAGTTTAAGCCTAAGGGTGCTCTCAAAAACAGGAGGTTGTGGGGAAAGGTGATGGCAGGAGGAGGTGGTAGATGGTAGATTCATTGAAGATACAGGCTAAAGTGTAGGCCAGCTAGTTTGCAGGAGAGAACAGGGAAAGAAACCGGACACTAACTCAGGAGTCTGGTGTCTGCAGAGCAATTTACACCCCAGGGCGTTGCTGTAAGCAATAATACATCAACAGCTGGCAATGAACGGATCTTGACAGCTGGGTGTGGTCAGGGAAAGAGGTGAAGAGAGTCTAGCCCAAATCACTGCCATCTCAGGGTGACTGAGCAGACCCTGAGCTGCACTTCCTGGCAGAGCAACATCACAGGTTTAACACTTCAGGGGAGTGAGGGAGAAGGCTTCACTAAGATAAGCCAGCCAGTCACTAAACAAACAAGTGACAACAAGCTGGGGCAAGGGGGTGGGTGGGGTGCGGGTTACCAGTACCCAGAGTTGCTACATTATCTAAAATGTCTGGTTTCCAGCAAGAATATATTAGACAAGCAACGAAGCAGGCATAAAAAATTAATAAACAGAAACCTCAATTAAACAGAGTCAAGAGACAGAAGAGGAAGCTCTCACACCCTTTGAGGACAGCAGGGCCCAAAAGGAAGAAGACAGACTCCTCCTCCTTCCTGGCAAAGACTCAGCCAATGAAAAGCCATGGAGACTCTGTCTACCAGGGCCCTCCCAACGCCTTTTTTTGCCCTCTGTAAAAGTGATCTTTTTCCCTTGCCCTGGGGGACTTGCACATGGCTCACCATGGTTGCAGACCCCGAATTCCAATTCTTTGCTGATCCCAAATAGAACCATTTTTGCTGGAGAAATCTGGCAGTCTACTTGTTTCAGGTTGGCATAGGAAAGCATGATTCTCACACTGAAAAAAGGCAGGCGACAGGACCTACCTTGTGGGAGCAGCCAGATGTTGGATCTAAAAGTAGCCCTGAGGAGGGCACTTTTTTATTTAATTCAAATTCAGATTCAGAGGCAGATGTAGCAGGACTAGATCTAGAAAACATCTGCTCCATTGTCCCATCGGGAATGTTGAAGGCCCTGGTGGCCTCAGTGGGGACAGCTTCAGTGGTAAAGCAGGTAAAGAAACCAGGCTCAGAGAGAAATGGAGACAGTGTGGACTTCCCACCAAGAAGGCGGAGAAAAGGAAAGAGTGGCTAAGAAGGGTATCAGTTCAACAGAGGTTTTTGTTTGTTTGCCTTTGTTTTGTTTTGCTTTGCTTTTTAGGATGGAATATTTGGGGACATGTTCACACACTGGGATAAGGACCCTGTAGAGGGGGAGGGGGGGCTGCCCAAGCAAGACCGGAAGAGGTGGGAGAGAGGCTGGCTTTCACTGGAGGAGGCCTGGAGGAATGCTGGTGAAGCTGTGTGGACATGAGTATGTTTGGAGGCCATTCTCAGTGGGTCTGTCACATTTCTACACATGTGAGCAGAGGCACTAACTGCCTTTTGTCCCAGACTATCTTTCCAAGAATGTTGGTATATAGCAAATGACCTGAGAAGATGAAGATTGTGCCCCCATCTGGAGCAGAGGGTAGATTTTCCTATTTGCAGTATAATTTTTAACGCCTCCCTCTAGGGCAAGGGCAAGTTTGCTTGCAGTCCGTTGTAAAAGATTCTGGCTTCTCTTGTTCAGGGTTCCCCAACTGTGTTGCAGATCCCACTGTGCAGCAGATCTGCTGTGTGGCCCCTCCTGGATCCCTCTGTCTCACCCTCATGGGGCCTAAGGGGCAAGGAGGTAGCAACAAAATCACAAAATCAATGTTGCTCACTGTGCTGTGAGTAATAAACTCCTTCATCTCTGACCCCAGAATCTTGTGTCATCTGCCAGCATCCTTAAAACCATAGAAGGCTGATGTTCTAGCTTGAATGGAGGGTAAACCTCAGACCCTTTACAGTTCCGGACAGAAGATGACTTTGCACTTAGAGGCATGGGACATTGAAGCTCCCCTCTAAGAGGGGTGGCAGGGAGAAGAGGCTTGAGGAAAGAGGTGACAGTCTTGGAATCATCACTGAGCAGGATGGAAGCCAAAGGTCACCAAGGACAAGGAAACGGCTCGTGTGGAGAGCCCAGCTGATGCTGGACGTGTACCATTCTGCTGTGGAATGAGACACTGGCCGGCAGCTCTGAGCCCGGCCAGGGGACAGGCAGTACTGGGGAAGGGACACTGCACAGGCAAATCAGAGTGTGAATCCAGGTCAGAGTTCTGCTGGGTGGAAAGCCAGGAACACAAGAGAATCTGGGTTTCGATGAAAGGGTAGCTCAGATTATGACTCCCCGGATTCTGTCTGGATAGGAAAGAAAGCTTCAGGGAGAGGGCTGACATGCTGGGAGACAATGGAGGGGTGGAGAGATGAGGGGTAGAACATGAACCCCAGGTGGTGGACAGGAGGCTCTGGTCTGAGTAGGGTATCGACTTTTAGGTACTGGATGTGGACCTGAATCATTAACACAGATGGTGGGGGTCAACCCCACAACAGGAGGAGAGCCGTCCTCAGCTTCATGCTGGAGTCCAGGCATGTGGAGGCTGGCCTGTGGTAGGGGCCATGTTTTAGGTCTGAAGATGGAACACTGAAGAAATTAATAGTGATTCTTTCTTCATGAAGTAGGTAAGGCTTTGAGGGGGGAGGGTTGGGGATAGATGTGGGATTTGGAAGCTCAGAGAGAAGTCTGATGTTTTATCAACCACTGAGGACATGGGAGAAGGTGCTGATCAAGGGATAAGTAACATTTACAGGGATTTCGGTGATTGAAAACCATAAAGATTAAAATAAAATACTTGAAACCATCAATTCTAAGAAATGTCCACCAGCAGGGTAGCAAGGTGCAGCATTTTTAAAGTTTTGAGAAGTGACCCCGAATGACCCTTTGGGGAAGCACTGCAGTTGGACAGACACCTGTTGCTGCACCCAGACTTGCTGTCACACAGAACAGGGGAGAGCAGAAAGCCGGTGGAAAGGGGCTCTCATCCTCGCAGTTCCTGATAGTAGGGAGTCTGGGGTATTTCACATGTTTTGAGGTCTAAGGCCAGGACGCTGCCCACTGGAGAATACACTGCCTCATCTACTGCTCACTCCCTGGGAGGGCTCTGCTTTCGGAGCACCAGTGCCACAAGCTTCCCCAGCCCTTCCTGGTGACACCTGAGCCCCTACTGAACCTTTCAGGTGTCTCTGGGCTGCTGAGTGCGATTGAGGGCCCTGAGCAGCCATCAAATGAGGGGATGAACAGCCTCAACTCCCCTACCATCCTATCACGGCAGGCCCCCTACCTCCTCGCCTTCTGCTCCACCCAGGGTCTGAGCGGTCGAGGGTTTGCTCCTCCATCCTCCCCGCCCCTTCCAGGAGCTTTGGGCGTCCGGAATCCGCCAGCCGGGGCCCCAGGGGGCGCAGTGCGCGGCCCACGCGGCAGGTGG